TACTTACTTCGTTTTTCATCCACTCATTTTTTTTCAACAAACTATTAGACGAAAATACATTTGATTATTTTGTTTAAAAAAAATTCTTTTACTGGACGATAAATCTTTCAGACGGAAAACAAACTAGTCCATCTTAGTTCTTGAAGTAGACAATCTATTCTGTTAGACAAATCATCTTTACAAATCTACACAAGTCTTCAACTAAGGTTGAATACTCTATTCTCTTTAAAACTAGCATTACGAAGCAATTTTCAAAAAATCTACCTTCGAACACGCACACACACATTTAACCCCCCCTTTTGTGTGTATTTTCGCTAACTTCAAAGTGTTTCCCAACTTGATGTGTCAGGTTTGCATTTGATTACCAATGATTTGATTAACACGCACAGATTAGGTTTCACTTTTTATTCTTATTTATTATTTACAAGGAAGGAATGGAACCTAGCTAAATCAAATCTATGAAAAATTAGGAGTAAAATGAGTCCAATATGAAAATTTTAGCCTAGGACCACCTTTGGCTAAATTGCTAGAAACACTCTCTAGCTTACTAGTGACACTCTCTAGATTTGCTAATGCCACTCCTACTAGAAAAACTAAGAAAAGAATGTATTTCTAGGTTAGGTTAAATGGAGTCCAAGTGTCCAAGTAACCTACCCTAGAAACAATATACAATAGCTACTAAAAAGGAAATAAATTGCCTCACAAATACAAAGGCAAAAATACACCTATACAAGTATCTACTATAAACAAGGTACAAGAAAACAACTATACAAGTTTGTACAATGGAAACTTAAGAGACTAATAAGAGGAACTATAATCAGTAATTTTTATTAAGTATTGGCTTAATAACTTTATATTAAATGTGAATTTTGTAAATCCAACTGTTAGATTGAAAGTTCATATCATTTTATATATTTATATCAAATTTTGTTAAAATTGAACAACAACTTGAAGGTAATCAAAGTGTTCATATTTTAGTATATTTTGAAATTTATATATTACATCAATTTTGTTTTATAAGAATGAAGTATCAAATAATCTTAGATTAATATAAAATTTTGTATATATGATTTAAAAGTAAAGACACACGCACGCACACACGCACACACGCACGCACTCACACACCACGCACGCACACGCACACGCTCACGCACACACACGCACACGCACACGCCCACGCACACACACATATAAATGAACCATATGAGTGCCTCAAAATAAGGTCCAAGTAAATAAAAGTTTGGGTCCATCATTCTTTGATCTGACTCACTCTTCATGCATTCTCCTAGCCATACCTCTAGTTGTGGATCCCTTAACTAGACGTTTTCCATCATAACTAATTTATTTTGATGACTTAGAGCAAAAGTTAAATAGTAAAGATTAAATTTGTAACTTTCTATCCTATTATTTTATTAGATAATTATAAAAATCAAAATAACTGTAATGAAAAATATATAAAATAAAATAAAATTAAGTTGAAGTTTTTCTTGAGAGTATGACACGTGTATATCCAAAGCTTCTTTTAATATATAGTAATTGAATTTGTAATCTTTTTATCTTATTATTTTATTAGATAAAAATAAAAGTCAAAATAAATGTAATGAAAAATGTAAAAACAAGAAAAAATTAAGCAAAATTTTGTTTGTTAAGTCTTTTATTATATAGTAATACATTAATAATAAATGAAGTAATGATAGACATTCATTGATTTGAATCCTCATCATCAAAACATGAATAAAAAAATTAATATAAAAGTTTAACTGACACGTGATTAAAACAGTATTTTATTTTTGGACATAAAGAAATGATGATCATAACAGGTTATACTGTAGAAATGTAAATGGACAACAAAGCTAACATTTTAGACGGGAGTCAATTAAATTTGTAATTTTTCAATTCTAGTAGACATCTAATTTTCTTCGGACCTAAAAGATAAAGAAATGAACCTCTGTTACGAAGGAAAGAAGTTCCTAAAGCATGAAGACAACTCGACATGACAAAAGGAAGCTTGGTAGCGACTCCGAGAACCTATTTTCAAAATCATTAATCAAGGATTAGTCTGGTATCCGGTCATTCCTTAATTAATGAGACAATCCTATTATTTTATTAGATAATAATAATAATAATAATAATAATAATAATAATAATCAAAATAAATGTAATGAAAAATGTATAAAAAAAATTGAGCGGAAATTTTTTTATTGAGTATGACATGTATATTATATAGATAGATATTTTATTCTCTTATCAATTATGCTGAGATTTGATATTTGATTTATTATATCATAATATTTTAGGAAATGATTGTGAATATAATTAGTTAGACTTTAAGAGATAGTCGTCTAGAATTTTGTAGTGCTTGCCTTAATTAATTTATATAATTTAATTAATTAATTGAATTAAAATATGAATATGGTTCAAACGATATCGGTGTAACTTTTACTAAGTATTATACTACTCAATAACTTTATATTAACTGTGAATTTTGTAAATCTAACTGTTGAATTATAACTTCATATCACTTTATATATTTATATCAAATTTTATTAAAATTGAACAATAACTTGAAGGTAATCAGAATGTTCATATTTTACTATATTTTGAAATGTATAAATTGCGTCAATTTTGTTTTATAAGAAAGAAGTATCAAATCATCTTGGATTAATAATTTTTTTTTGTATATATGATCTAAGAGTAAAGAACTTTAATATAAAATTCACATTTAAAAATAAAATTATTTAGCAGTGTAATACTTAGTAAAAGTTGCACCGTTGTTGTTTGAACCCTCCTTTTAAAATTATAATTTATATATTTATACATTTATATACACACATACTATAAAGGGGATACAAAAATTATAACTCTTTTTGTCTCCACTTTTCATAGATTATCATGTCCCTATTAAGAAAAAAAAAACCTTTTATATTCTTGTGAATAAATTATCCACAATTTTCTCAAATTATTTTTTTTTTAAATTAAGTGTCTCTTTTATGAATTAGTTGGATATATAATTTTTATTTCTAAAATTAAAAAATTTATAGAGATATGAAATTTATCAACTTCATTATCTATTACTAGAGAGGTTGAGTTATTTCTTGGCTCTAATAGCTACACACAAATATGACATTAGAAGGTTGAGAGTAGTTATTTAAAGAGGATATAATTTTTTTTTATATTTAAAGAGTATAATGGTCTATTAAAAAATAAAAAATGGAGACCAAAGACAATTACATAATTCAGTATCCTCTTTATAATAGGTATTATATATATATATATATATATATATATATATATAAATAAAATATAAAAACATATACTCTTAAAGTTTTTATTTTTCAAAAACTCAAAATTTAATTTAATTAATTAATGAGAATATTTTATTGGTGATTTATAATTTTGTTTTATTTTAAAAACAAAGAAACTTCATTGATAAAAAAAAAAAATCAAAGTTGAAAATCACACGTATAATTTAGATTTAAAGGTTGAAAACTATAAGTAAATTAGCACTTTAATAATAATGTGCATTTTGTTAGGAATTAGATTTTTATGTTTTTTTTTTCATCGGTCTAATCTGATTCGAGAGTTAAGTAAAACTTAATTAACTTATTTTCATCAAAAATCAAACTTGAATACTGTTCAAACAATTCAATCTTAGAATCAATACATTAATCACTTCTACTGATAAATCATTGGTACATATTTTTGTACAATATCTTTGAATTGAATAAAAAAAAGTTAAAAAGAAATACTTCATTAAAAGTATTAGATCAATTTCCAAGAAAAAATAATGAAATATAAATGGATATTTAGTAATAATCAAGAAGTTGGGTGGAATTAATTAATGTGTTAAACTTAAAATCAAATTATTTGGACAGAACTCAAATTTGACCTTTGATAGAATAATCTTTAACCAAATTTTATTTGTCTCTCAAATATAATATATATATATATATATATATATTTGTTAATTTATAATTTTAGCATCTAAATTTATAATGGGATTGGATCAAACATCAGCTATTAGTCTATGCAATGTGACATAATAAGATTTTGAATCCCTTAAAAAAAAAAAGTGCATGCATTTATGCCTAATTTTGTTTAATCGATTCTTATACATTAAATATAAACTTCTATACTATATTATAGTATTTTTAGAAAATTTTCTTCAACGGAAGAATTTGTAGAATTTTTTAACTTCTAATGTAATTTAGTTTTTATTTATCATAACTATTTATAAATTAAATATTAATATTTTAAAATAAATAATCAATAAATAAAAAATTGTCATGATACAAATTATTTATCATAAGTTTAAAATATAATTTATGTGTTTAAAAATATTTATATATTAATTTTAAATATAATTTATATATTCAAATCTATATCTATTTATTTATCTGTTTTATCTATATCTATATCTATTATTTACTTGTAAATGAATATATTTTTGTAACCATCCTTTTAGTTTTTATTTTTTAGTGGATCATTATATCCTTGGGTGTAAAAAAAATTATATCTTTTTTAATAACTATTTATAACTTCTAATATTTGTTTGTGGGTAACTATTAGAAACACGAAGTATCTCAATCCTTTTAATATAATATATACAGGAGATATATTTTGATAATCAATATTGGGTCTCCACTTTTTAATGAATGATGATATCCCTTGAATTTTAAAAAAAAAAATTATATCTTCTCTAAATAACTATCCGCACCTTTTTATATTTGTCCATATATAATTATTAGAAGCACGAAATGTCTCGCCTCTCTAGTATTATATAAAGGGAGAATAATGAAATATTTGTATCTTTCACAGAAAAATGAGTGTAATTTACTTTAACTACCTAGACTAAAGTATATATTTTAAAATAAGAAAAGAAAATAATATAATATCTTATGGGATAATAATGTAATTTACTTAATATTTTAAAAAATTTAAAATGAAAAAAATAATCAATGGAATGAATTGAAATACTTATGTACCCTTTCTCCCTCTACAACTGCCTTCAGATTTTTTAGTGTTTTTTAAACTCAATAAACCACATCCAACGGTTTAGGGTTTTGGTGTTGCTTGGTAGTCGTTGATCAAAACTGAGGGAAAATTAAACGCTCTCTTCTTTGAAACACAAAAACTTCATCTTCTTCCTCTGCACATGCAAGGAAATCATTCCAACCCAATTTCTCTCCTTTGTGTGCCGTCAATTATTGTGTGTGTGTGGCCACAGTGAGAGCAAGTGTAGAGGAGTCATTCTTTGGTAAAGCACCGTTGGTAACTTCTATTTTCTGCTTTGTACCAATAACTGGGTTTTCATTTATCATGTTTAATGAGGGTTGATTCGCTCTGTGGTGACTAATTATATGTCTTTTGAGGATTAAATGAATGTGTACACTTGCCTACCACCTATTTGATGAAAAGCCCAAACTTTAGGGAATAAAATTATGTGTGATATAGGTCGGCAGTTGAATTTTTTTTTTTTTTAGTGTAGCACTTTCTTCTGTTATTAATGAACGAAACTTTGAAACTAATATTTAGATTTATGATTGTCCAGTCTCTGTATCACAGTTTTCATTAGTCTTCTTCATTAGTGGCACTTTTTGATGCACTGCAAAAACAACTTACCTTACATTACACAAGAATTGGAATTAGAAGAACTTGTATCTCACATTGGCATCAAAGCTCCCTATTGATTAAAGCAATCTGCACTCTCTTTTTTTCAGGCTCAATGTTCTATCTCAGTAGAATTGAACACAAATTGTCCCTGCCTCCTACTCGGCTTGTTCTTCCCATTCGAGAAGCTATACACATGGAGCTTGAGAAACTTTTCCTAGATAAAGTTTTGTATTGTTACTATTTTTAGTTTCCTTTGTGAACCATTGTTACGTAATTGACTTAATGTTTTTTTGGATTCATTTTGGGTTTGTGTAATCATGTCAGGTTATAGCAAACTTGGGCCTTTGCATTTCCGTCTATGATATCAGATCCATTGATGGTGGATTTATCTTCGCTGGTGATGGGGCTCCAACCTTTACGGTATGAATTCATGGGTTGTTTTTGAACGTCTCCTACATTTGATAGTTTGAAGTTGAATGCAGACTTTTATTTTTGATAAATTATTTTTGCTTCTTTTAGCCAAATACTTTGACTTTTTTTTTTTCCGACTTTATCAAGAAAAAAATTTCCCACTCAATTTAATCCTTAAATTTTGGTTAATGGGCCCAAAAATGTTGATACGCCACTTTTCATATTTTCAGTATATTGGAACATGCAAAATGATTGTATTTATTTAGTGCCTCTTATTTTCAATTTATGATGTATTATAAAGCCATATTTTGATAAATTTCTCACTAAGTACTTATAGAAAAAAAAAATGGTATAATGATTTAAACATGTCCCCTTAGTTAGAATCTATTTAAACGTTTATAGAAGCTCACTTGTCTAACTTCTCCAAAAAGTTGTATAGAAGATGTTTCATTATTGAAAAGTATATTCAAACAGGGCCTAAATCACTGTTTTTTGGTTTGATGGCAGAAGTGTTGTATGTGATTGTGTCTTTGCAATAACAATATTCTAATATTTCTGGCAGGTTGTGTTCAATTTGATTATGTTTCGACCATTCGTGGGGGAGATTATTACTGCAAAGCTTTTTTCATCTGATGCGGATGGCTTACGATGTATGTCATTTTTCAACTATCTGATTGTTATTTTCTCTTTACATGCATGATTTAGTTTCTCAATAGTTCTCTGTTTTATGAATCATGTTTTTGTGCATACTTCTGTTTCATATATCTAATACATCTTACTCGCAGCATACCAAGGTAAAAAAATTACTTTGAGAAAAAATAATTTAGGAGACCATTGATCCACCCAGATATAGATAAGTTCTATTGACTTGCAGCAGCTACAACTTCTAATACCAGTACAAAACCATGAGGAAGAAAAGGAAAGCCTCAAGGAAGTTTTAGAATGAAAAAGATCGAGATAATGAATAAAAACAATTGGTTGAATATAGAGTACAAGCCCAGTAAGAAGGAAGAGTGATTTAACTGTGAAGGCCAACTCTACTACTCATAATCTATTACAATGCAAATGCATATCATTTAATTTAGATAATTTAATTGAGAAAGGGTGAAGGTTAAAAAAAAAGCCTTTAGGCATCTTAAATATTATAATCTGTCATTACCTAGATTAGATACATGTGTAACAATATGGAAAAGTAAGTGAGATGTTACACCTTTCTCTAATGTCTTTGCTATTCCTTTTTTCTTTTTTGTGTTAGATTATGAAGATTCCAAACTTAGTCAATTTTAAATTAATTGAAGCTCAAATTGTATCCTAAAAAGAATAATGTAAGACAAGAATAATGTGACTTTGCAGGTTGAATTGTTTCCAAATCTAGTTTATGTTTTTGCATATCCATAGTGTGACATTGAGGGGATGTTGGGTACATGAAAACAATTTTCATGTTCGGGAATCATCATTCATGGGATCATAAATCCTAAGAATCATGATTCCTAAGAATAAATAAATCTGTTTGGTTGGTCATAAATATTTTTGAGAATATTTATAAATGTTATCTAAGAACCAAAGATTTTTATTACATTAAATAAACAAATAAAGGTAACGTGATATTTTTTATTGTAATAAAATCTTCTTTTTAACTTGGGAATGTTAGATTTTGACCTCACCTATGAGAACAATTTGGTGAGGTAAAAGACATTCTCGAGAAACAATGTTTCCTAGGATGTTATTTTTTAAATATCAAACCAAACATAACTTCAAATTTTCGGAAAAGTAAAAACTTGTCATATACTATACCATTCCTAGCAGAAACATCATTTGCCTCATGTAACAGCACCATCCAACATATGCATCCTCTGAACAATTAAATGATTGACAAATGTTGTTTCTTAAGATAGTCCATGCTTAGTAATGCTAAATCTATGGTTGGCAGTAACCCTTGGATTCTTTGATGATATATATGTTCCTGCACATCATCTGCCATACCCCAACCACTTTGTGGCTGAACAAGTAAATAGGTAATGTTTCCACTACCTAGTTTTTACCTTGGGTGATCTTTGAATTTACATATAATCTTTTTATTATTTCCGTATGATCAACATCATGCTTATTTGTTATGAAAATTACAGCAAGAAAGGCGTATGGTTTTGGGATTTTAATGACCAATCATATCCCATTGAAGATACTGACGTGGTTAGACTCCTTTGTCTTTTTTGTAAACTGTATGCTTGAAAAACAAGAGTATGCTAAATTTTTGTTACCAATGTGGCAGATCAAATTCCGAGTTCAAAATGTGAGCTACCCACCAATTCCGGTTGAGCAACCAAAAGAATCAAAGCCATTTGCTCCTATGTTGGTTACTGTAAGTATTTTGTTGCTCACCCCGCCATTGTTTACTTCTTCTTTCTTCGTTAGTTTGATTTATGCATTTATGTGCATACATCAAACTACATAGGAATGATGAGATATATGGTCGATCTGTACATGTACTAAAAACATTTATGTTCATTATATATAAATATAATATAAAATAAAAAATATATAGGTTTGAAATTTTAGTATCTTGAAATTGGGTGCCAGGGATTTTTGTATTTGTTTTAAAAATGTTTTCTTTATGGCTTTTCAGATGAGAGATTTATTATGATTATCATTATAATTTTGATTTAATCTTTTTTTCTTCCTTTTATTCTGATGTTATATTTAGGATGGTTTATTTTATTTTTAATTTTATTAATTTGATTTAGATGGCTTTCTTAGCTTAACATATAGCACGTGATTATTATAAGTTATAATATATTGTTCATTTTGTTTCTCGATGGATAATAGATGAATTGTTAATATTTTCTTTTAACTATATTCATCTGTGTACAAGTATTATCATCATATTATTGCTAATAATTTTGTATCATGAATCACATATCTCGAGTCAATTAAAATCCCATCAATTGCTATATAATAAGCTGGTTTCCTTCGGATTCAGTTTTTAAGTCGATAACCTTCCATTTGAGATTTTTGACATGTAAATTTTAAGTCTAGAAACCCTATTTAACAAACATTATTAAAGTAAATGGTTTATTCCAAACTAGCTTTGCAAATAACAGAATAGTGACTTATCATTATGTCTATTTTGTAGGGATCATTAGACCATGATGGTCTAGGTCCTATTTCTTGGTGGTTTGCTGAAGAGCTTGAGGAAGAGGTTGAAAACGAGTAAAGGTGAGTCCAAAAGATGGTGAGATTTTCGTCAAGTGATGATTTCATTCATTGATTTTTCTTCAGTCTAGAATATCAAGTTTATAGAACTAATTGGAGAAATTGGTCTGGTTGATACAAGAAATTAGTAGTTTGCTCATGTCCTTCGAAATATCCCATTTCAGATGTTTTTCACATGTTATTTGGAAGGGTTTTAGCCCTTAAATGGGCTTCTTCGAAGAGGTTAGTCTCTGGCCAACCGTTGGAGGATTTCGTAGGCCACCAAAAATATGTTTTTAACATTATTGTAACTTAACAACACTGGATATACTTTTGTTCAATTCCTTTGCCTTCTAATTTATTATTAGAACCATTGTTTGCCTTTTGATTCCAGCATATTGAGTACTTGCAACACAGAAGAGGAAAAGTGTTTATAGATTTGCTTTCTGTATCCATAATTTAAGTCTTTCATAGGTAAGTGTATTAAATATTGATTGATAATCATAATTTGATATATACAAAGAGGAGGCTGGCAATTCTTAAACCACTAACTGACTACTCATTATATTTTTCACTGTTGAATTAATTGTTTGATTCTTATATTCATTTATGAATTGTTCCCTATACGAAGAAAAATAAAATGGTTCCTATATGAAATTAGCATTATATTTAATTTAGTTCTCATGAAATCTATAGGTATATACAAATAGAACTCACTCAAAAAGCAAGTTTTTCCAGGTGTCACTCAAAGAGACAAACAGATAAATTAACTACACTTACTAAGCCATCAAAAAATGGTTTAAACACATCTATTTGCGTAATGCAAGACGCAGGTAGCTGTAAACTGTTTTCAGTTTTAAAAAAAATAGTTTATTCGAAATTACAAATTAAAACGCCTTAGTGAGAAAACAACTCCAGTATAAACTAATTTCGAATATTTTGGACCTTTTTTGTTTTCTACCATACGCAAAACACAACCCAAAAGGAGAATAAGACAAATTTATATGAATGGGTTCAGCTTTGGGCTCCGCAAAAACAAAATCCTAAATCTTTACACAAATAAGAGGGTTCTTTTGCTGTGCCCTTTAATCATAGACATGCAGGAAGCATTCAAATGGAATGTTTTGACGGAGGAGTATGCAGACCTATCCTTTGATTGTAAGGACATGGTCTACCTATGCTGAAAAGTGTGTTAAACCCTTATATATAGAGGGAGTTGTGTGAAAGTTGGGTGATTTAGAGGGATTGTTATAGGGAGATAGTAGTCAGAGTTTTGTCAGACTCTCATCTACATGTTTGAGGAAGATTTGCTTGAAGGTCCTATTTACTGTATCCAATATTTTGGTTTCAGTGCAAAATAAGTTTTGTGAAATCGGTGGTAATAATTCAAACCACTCTATGTTATAGCTGTGTTTCGAATGGTCATGGCTAACAAATTGTGTGTATTATTAGGAAGCAATGATGGATGATTCAACCATTGCTTTTGGGCAAGTCTGTAAAAAAAATAATAAATTAACAAGTGTTGCTAAGGGTGAGTTTGGTTTCAGAAAATAATTTTATTTTTTAATTTTAAAATTTAAAAAACATGTTTGGTTTGACTTTTTTTTTTTTAATAAAAGTTCATAGTATAAAATTTATACTTAAAATTATTCTCTATATATGAATTAGAATAATATTTTATTTTGTAAATATTTCATTCTTTCTACTCTTATATTTATTTTCATTTGAATACTCTCATCTCATAATAGGTGAGTTTCGCTCTTAAAAATGTGCAATTTTTTGTACTTAATGAACAATTTATTATTTAACAAATAATAATTGTATAACAATATATATATGTGTGTGTGTGCACACGCGCATGTATATAATTGATACTATTTATCTTAAAATCTAACAACCAAAACTTAATTACACTAAATATTAATCATATTTAATTAAAATAATTAAATAATATAAACAACATATGTAATTAAAATTCTATAGAATAATTATATATAATAAATCTTATAATATATATATATATATATATATAATACATATGCAAACACCAAATAAAATTTCTCGACACAAAAAAATATGAAACAGATCAATTGAAATACATTTATATAAAAATAAAAAATAAAAATAAAAGCCTATTGAATCATGTGTGCAAGGTTGTAAGCTTAGTTCGTAAAAAGTTTTAATAATTACTATCACATATCATCACGTTTTCAAAAGTATAGAAAATAATGAAAATGACAATTTTTTTTATTTTCAATTTTGGACTTCTTTTGAAAACATTTTCAAAGAGAATATTTTCTAAAATTAAAAATAAACACACATTTTCGTACTTATTTTCTATTTTCTATGAAAATGAAAATAGAAAACAATGAAAGCATAGATATCCTAAGTTTTTATGATTTTCATTATATCAAATAAATCATTATGTGATAACAGGTTCTCAAGTGTGGTTGTTGATGCTAAGTAATTTGATAGAGAGAAGTATTGGACATGTTGAATGACTCAAAAGACTTAACACTTCTTAAAATGTATGAGGTAAAGAAAGGAAGGAGAATATCTGTCAAAACATTCCAAGACTTAACCCTTCTTCAAAGTAAATCCACAACCCTGTAAAGGGAAAGACTTCTTGTTTCCAACAATTCATAGGATTTTTTTTATGCTTACAATCCATAGGATATAACTCCCATTTAAAGTAGTTGTAGAACTAAACAAAAAAAAATTTAAGTTTTGAGTGATTTATTGGGTGAGAAGGATTTTGCATCTAGATAAAGCCAACTAGATCTTCATGTTCCAATCGAAGTGTTATATTTTGAGAACCACTTGATAGTGTGTGAAATCTGTTTCCTTTGGAATATTTTTCTTCTTCTAAAAGGATGGAGAAGCATGGACCAAGGGTCCAATTACTAGAGTTATGCTTAGGAGGATGGAGGAAGAGTGGGATAACACACAAGAGGTAAAGCCCAAGACACTTTTTAGTTGGGTTGTGCCTTGAAGCCCATGTAGATTAGGATTTTGGCCCATGTGGGCTTGTACTTGTTTTTGTAGGCCTTGTATTTTGGCCTTGTAGCTTAGGAACTACTTTTGGGCCATGTATTTTTGGCCACATAGATGTTAGGAGTTTCATGTACATGTGAGTTTACATTTCATGTAATTTAGATCACATGGCATGTCCAAAATTCACTTCAAATGTGAACCAAATCACATTAAAATGTAAACAACACATAACACATGGAGGCACATGGGGAAATCTGGGATCATAGGCTAAGCATCCAAATTTGAATTTTCAAATTCAAATTTGGCACCTAGAGTTTAAACTAACCATACCATGGTTATGTTTATACCCTAGGTTAACTTAGCTTCCTTGATACTCTACCTAGGCCTATATATATCACTTAGTCGTGTATCATTGCTCACTTTTGAGATTTATGAGAGTTATACTTTAGCTTTTCTCTCCTTCAAAAGTCTTGAGAGTTCGTGAAGAATTCTTCTCCAATTTGGCTCCAACAAGAAAACCTTCCTTGTGGAGTTTGAGTGCTCCTTGCTTGCTTCTTTGAAGAAGCTTCTAAGTTTGGTTCAATTCATCATTTCTCACACAGCTTTTCTGCTTCCATTCATTCATCAAGTATTGCTAAGGAACAAAGATCATTGGACGTGAGGTTCTAAGGAGGATTAGCCAATCAATCCTACAAGGAACTTCATCATTTGGTATCTAAAGCAAAGGTTCTTGTTCCTAGCCTCTAAAATTTTCCTTCCCCGAATACTTGTTGTCAATGTCTTCCTTGCTTGTCTTGATGTATATGTTGCTGTAGATCTAATTTCTAATGCAATACATGATGGATCTACGTTTGAAATGATAGAATTGTTCATTTCTCAATCAAATGCTAATAGGATTCTTAGCTTGTGCTTGTTTTTATTTGTTGGAGTCTTTTTAATTTTGATTCGTTCATTCTTCAATCTTTGCATAATTTTGTATTTTTAATTCATTCAAGTTGTCTAGAGTCATGTGTAGTTCTTAATAGTCATTAATCTTGTGATCTAGCCTAAGAAAATTTGAATGAAGCATGTTTTGGCTGAGTGCATTGTGTTGAACTTTGAGTGCTTTTGTGTTTCAATTTTGAGTTCATATTCACTATTAGATCACTAGTGAATTCTTAGAGTTAGGATTCTTTTGTGTCTAGGTTGTCCAATTCTTTAAAAACTCGTATTCAATTCAAAATTCAAATTCAAATGAGCAAACAAAAATTGGTGCCAAATTCAAACAGTTTTAAAATTCAAATCTCCTTTGGCGCCAAGTTTCAATTGCAAATTTCAAATTCAATTTGAATTTTAAATGCATTAAGTGATTGTTAAGTGGATGAAGCTACAATAGCATGTGCACGTGAATTTTGTGGGTTTTTTTTTTTTAAAAAAAAAAAGAAGTGCAAATTACAAAAGCATGTGCTAAACACATTAAAAAAATGTAAGAAGCGGCAATAGCATGAGTTTTACAATTAAGTGTCATTAACCTGCTAAAATTAAGTGTTTTTTTTAAACAATTTGTATTTTTGTCTTACAAAGTCTAAAACAACGACTTTTACAAAAAGTTTTCTTACTAAAAAATATAGTGTTTGTTACCATTAAAACTTATAAAGCATGAGAGATATGAGATCATTTTTTGACTTAACAGATTCTCTCAAGCTCCAAAACTCCTCTTTCTAACTTTTCTTAAACTTTCTTAAGAAATTGAACTTATGAGATTTATTTCTTAATAAAGACCTTAAATACCTCCCTATAACAGGTTAAATTTGACCTCTACTCAAAGAAATTCTTAAATGACTAAAACTCATGAGAATTTCTATTTTTCCAAAATTTCTCAATAATTAAATAATAAATTACCACAACATATAATTTGATAAAATCAACAATTATTAATAATTCATAGTGTCATAATTCTCCCCAACAACAAAATTTTTTGTCCAAAAAATTGACTTACTTGGGAAGAAAAATGAATATTGATTCATGATCTTGCCCTCCAACTCTCATGTAGCCACATTAGCAGCCACATCCCAAACAACTTTGACAAGATTGATGGATTTACCCTTTAGCTCCTTCAACTTATGATCCATAATTGTAGTTGGTTGCTTCACATAGGTCAGGTTCTCTTTCACTTGCACAACATGACTCTCTACCACATGACTCGGGTCATGTACATACTTCTTCAATTGGGAGACATGGAATATGTCATGCAAGTTAGACAAGAATGGTAACAACAACAACTAATAAGCCACCAACCCTACACGATAAAGGATCTA